GCCCGTCCACCGCGTTCCAGTGCTGCAGCGGGGCGCAGGCCTGGGCAGGGGCACGGGCATGGCACAGGGTGGGTGCCCACCCCGTGGGTCACCACCCACGGGTGCCCACCCTCTCAGTCCCCTCCTCGCCCCACGCCGGCTGCACCCACCACCAGTTTGCCGTCCCAGCTGGTGACGGACGCGCCCAGCCACTGGTGAGACTTGTAGGTGTGGAATTCCAAGGTGCCCTGGGTCTCGGTCTCGTCCCCTGGGGGAGCGGGAGAGGGAGATTTTGCGTGTGCGGCACCCGCGCTGTGCCCACCCAGCACCACACGGTGCCCACGTACCCGCGGTGTCGATGGGGAGGGGGCGGCAGGGGGTCTCGCCGGGGGGCCAGGAGCAGAGGAAGACGGCACCGGGCTGAGCCACGCCGGGCTGGGAGGTGTTGGCTCGTGGAGCCCCCACAGCCACGCTGGGCCTGGGGGGCAGAGCGGGTGTCATCTTGGGGGGGTGGCCGTGCCCGACCCCGGCCCCCCGGGGTGTCCCTACCTGCCCTCCTCCATGAGGAAATCCAGGGCGAAGCCGAAATAGCTGCCGGGGGGTCCCGCGTACTCCCTGGGGGGTTCCTGGAGAAGCCCCAGGGTGGGGGGCAGGTGCAGCCCCCCGAGGAGCAGCAGCGCCCGCAGTAGCCCCATGGCCACCCCGAAATGTGGCCGCAGCCCCGGCATGTCCCGGGGCGGCCCCGGCTTATCTCGGAGGACGCAGTCGGGGCCGGGGACAGCAGTGATGGGGAGCACAGGAAGGGCCCCCCCGAAAGCACATCCGCTCCTGTGGGAGCCAGAGGGGTGTGGGGGGGACGCGCTGGGTCGGAGCAGGGTGGGGGACAGGGGGTGGCAGTGCCACCGGGGGACACTGGGAGGGCTGTGGGGACAGGGCCATGGCAGGGGGACAGCACAGTGCCCACCAGCAGCCTCCCGCCAGGGCCGAATCCAGCCCGCCCTGGGGTGCCGGTCTCGAGGGGCAGCTATTTCGGGGTGTGGGCAGCCCTGGCCAGCGGAAACGCGGCGGGGAGGGGGGAGGACAGCAGGGCACGGGGCCCCTGCATTGTCCCCAGTGTCCCCTCC